CTCTGATACTTCCTGAGAAATAGCCATAACAAACTTTCACTATCAAAATCCAAGATGGCTGCCTGTCGGCCATATTGTTTATCCGCTCAGTCTCAAAAGTTGCCCTGCACCGCTTAGGACCAAGGGGAACCTACATATAAAATTTGAGAAAGACCCCCCTATGGTACTTCCCGAGAAATAGAGATAACAAACTTTCACTATCAAAATCCAAGATGGCTGCCTGTTATGTTGTTATCCGATCAGTCTCAAAAATTGCCCTGCACAGCTAAGGACCAAGGGGAACCTACATATAAAATTTGAGAAAGATCCCTCTTGAACTTCTTGAGAAATAGCTATAACAAACTTTCACTATCAAAATCCAAGATGGCTGCCTGTCGGCCATGTTGTTTATCCCATCAGTCTCAAAAGTTGCCCTGCACAGCTTAGGACCAAGGGGAACCTGTATATAAAATTTGAGAAAGATCCCTCTGGTACTTCTTGAGAAATACCGATAACAAGAATTGTTGACGGACGGACGACGGACCACAGCCCACCATCAGATGATGGTGGGCTAAAAACAGTTTACCATTCACTGTCACAAGATAAAGAGATTATAGACTACATTTGTAAACAAGATTATTTAAATGGGTTCTCTTTTTTTGTTTATAATTTGATAAAACCTACAATTGTAATCCCAGTCACAGTAAAATCATGCATAAGTTAAGTTGAATGTGTAAACTTTTCTGGTGAAAAATATTAAAACATTACCAGTAAAAAACCCAATATGATCAATCCCTTTATATGATTTCAGATTCTATCATTGTCAAGGGAGGAAAAAGATATTATTTACTGTGCTCCAACTATGCAGGAACAATTTGTGAGGATGGTACAACTATAAAACCTCATTGCATTAATATTCCATCAGGTGACAGTGCTGATTCAACAAATAAAACTTGTGCGACCAGATACTCCTCTTGGCTCGAACTCAAACTCTAGACTTCGCAATTTACATTTTGAAAATAATACATATGCAAACAAGGTATCTGACTACACCAAGGAAAATAGTCATTCTAAATTTGAGAACACTGAAAACATTCCCTGTGAGGATACATCATGTATATATCTACTACTATTAGTGCCTTGTCTTTAAAGGAGAGTTCTGAAACACAGACATACTGGTTATCCAAATTATGCATTTTTACTGTTTTTTACTACTTTTTGTAAGCATGGTGCAGAAAAGTTGACCTACTGGGAAGGGGGAAAAAGAACTCCACTACCTGCAAAAGACAGAAAATATTTCCACCCAAAAATTGAGAAACCTGGGAAGAAAAGGAGCCTACGCCCAAGTGTCGTGTTTGAAGTTGAAGCATGGTCTTTGGCAAAAAATTCTTGAAGATTTATTAAGTGTGTCTGTTATGAGTTTCTCGAATCATTAATACATGGATTAGTTTTATGTTTGATCACATGCAGTCACTTATCCCATGGCCATCAAGAGAACACATTTGAAGCAATTTGCCTAAACATTTTACAGAAATGACTCGGGTTCACATACATGTACATGTAGTTATAGATGCAACAGAATTCTTCTGTGAGAAACCGTGAAACATGGAGGCTTAATTTCTTACATGGAGTGAATACAAACACCATAACACTTATAAAGGTTTAAATGGAGTTGCACCCAATGGTCTAGTAACATTTGTGTAAAGGATTTGTGGTGGGCATCAGATAGCAGACATACAAATGTATTGTGCAAGAAGATGGTGACCTCTTCTGACCAAAGTTAGAACCTGGAGATGTTATTCTTGCAGACAAAGGCTTCACTGTTGGAGATTTACTTGCTACACCACATATAGGTCTAAATATGCCACCATTTATATGACCTAGTTGTCAGATGAGTGTACAGTACAGGACTCAACAAATAGCTGCTCCGAGGATTGTTGTTGAAATGAAAATGGAGCAAATCAAGAACTTCAAGATATTAATCTTTGCTACCACTTACTTAAGTTCATTTAGCTGAACAATTAATTATGATATGTTGTGCCATGACATATTTGTACAAGCTCTTACTGAAGTAAATTATACTGGCTGCAATGTCATGTACTTAAGATTTCTAGATTACTTCATATATACAGGATCATGTGTAAAATGTACATATAAATATACTGTACAGATATGATTCAAAATGGACAGATTTTCAGTTGACCCTTGACATTTAGTAATTTCAAATAATATTTTCCCTAAATCTGAGGAGTCAAACACATTCTTAATAGACATATCTTAGCAAACTCTAAAGTCAAATCTCATTGTTGGGTCTACTGATGTCCTAGATGGCTCAGGTATATAATGTTAAATTAATTGTGCAGCAGTACATGTATACATGTACATTTGCATCCATTAGACTGTGCAAAGTAACTATAACAATGTGTGATTTTTGTAATAGGTTTTGGGATGTTAAAATTTCAAAACACTTGATGGTTGTATTGTGACTATTGTCTGTTTCAACAACTATTGGTAAAACTAATATACATGTATGTTTTTTTATAGAGTTAAAGTTGCTAGGTATGTACAAAGGTTTGAAAAATGAAATAACTGATCAAGTATTTTCATACTTTGTTATATATATATATTGAGAAGCAGGTCATATAAGAGAATGATAATATCACAATATTGATTTAATACCTTTTAGAGGTCAAAATTGAAAATGGAAATAGTTAAGCATCAATATTGAAGAACTGGACACATTTTAAAAAGAGTTTTTGTCCAATGTTTTATTGAAAACAAGAAAACCTAAATGACTAAAATGTATGTGTAACTCAGGTAGTTTCAGATATTGACAAACCCTTGTTTAATGTTATTAGAGGGACGTCACAGAACTTTGTATGTAATAACTTATGAATTACTTTTTTCTTATCATGTGTGATTTCTCATTTCATCTTAGTTATTATTATGTATACATGTATTGTTATTGTGTGTTATGACATGTGTAAAAAGTGTATATATAACATCCATGATAGATTTTTTTCATTTCAGCAAATAAATTTTAGGAAATGAGTCAAGATAATCAAAATTAATTATGTTTTTATTTAATTTTTCATTTTATATTGATGTTTTTGGATACTGGATTCCTGGACTCCTTCTTTTGTGTGACTTGGCTTACTTTTTGAGAACCTATGATATCTCTTAGAGAAATTAGTGAGCTCATCAAAATGGAGAGACAAATATGTTAAATGCGTGCATATTTCAAAGTTTGATATGGATATGTGTATTTTCTTGTACGTCACTACATGTTATGAACTGAGTTTAGACATCAATAAATACATGTATACACTTGACAAGTTGTACTTAGTTCAGATGTTTGAGTGGAAAGAAAAGTGGATGACTCCTCTGGAACTTGTATGGTTGAACTGTACTGTACAGGTAAAGTCACAGCTGCCAGTTGTTAAAAGTGCATCAGCTTCTCATAATTGTTCTGAGCAAGAATTGGGATATAAATAAAGGTTGATTTTCAATCAAATATGACCCCTCCACAGATGTTAGATATTACATTTGTCTATGGATGATTAGAGAAGCAACTGTGAATCACACAGTTAAATACATCTTGACACGTACATATAATTTTCTGTTCAACAGTTAGTAATGATTCAATAAATATCTATTAACTTGGATATCAAAATATTTCCTTGCTCAGATCAGTTTATGTTTTTTACAAATGACTAAAATACAAACACTTTACTGTCACAGTACATATAAACAAATATGCATGTTTAAAACTAAAAATACCCAAAATTCACCTTTAAAGTCACTGATTATTATAGCTTTATGCTGTGTGACCCATATCAGTTAAGCATAATATTTGTAACTAACCCCTGTGCTTTGTTACCCCCCCCCCCCCCCCCCCCTCTCTCTCTCAAGTAAAAGTGCAAGAAGACCTTTAATTTGACTTCAGTATCCACGGTTATGGAAACACTATAGTACAGGTGCGTCACTTATGATTACGTTATAGGCTGATCACTCAGACACAGAACATATCCCTATACCCTGGATTAGAGGGATCCATTTCCCAAGTCAGCGTTTAGACGGTTAACTTACAGGACAGGGGTTCGTTACAAATGTCTGAAATACACATATGCTACTGATATGGATAACAACACAAAGTTTAAGTGTGCTATGACCCACATCAGTACAGCATGATATATGTGTATTTCAGACATTTGTAACGAACCCCTGTGGTTACTGTACAGCAGGAGATTCTCTCGAGAAAAATGTTGACAAATGTAACAAAACGATTACATGTCTGCTAATACAAAGCGAATATATGCAACACAACACATTTAACCATTTACACACAAACACCTACATGATGATAATGGTGATTAAACAGAGACGTTAAAAGTCACGCAATATTTGGATTGTTTACATTGGAACAGTGCGTACGAGCTCAAACAGGAACTACCGTTGACAGACAGCGCCAATGTTTATAAGCGGCCAACTATAAAGGGACGTAATGCGGTAGGCTACTATTGGGGTATAATAGGCGACTTTGCGTATTGTTGGTGGTTTCCCCGACCTGATTATCCTGGAGAATTGACATTTTTTATTTTTTTCTCGATAATGAATACACGGATACTTCTGGAATGCAGGAACAGGTAAGATTTTTTCATGAATTTTCCTTATTCTCTGAAATGTTTTAACGGCGTTGACATAACGTCCAGAAACGAAAGTAAAAACACTGCCCTCTGGTGATATAAGTACATTTGTACTGTGATCAAGCGTCTGGTTGAACGAGACTAGAAATTCCCGTGAGGACCTCGACATGCGTACCGACTGTGAAATATAACCGGAAGTTCCATGTGAAATGGCTCAGATTGTACTTTATATGTGATTAAATCCGTATGGACAGACACTTCAGTATGTTGTGACATTATAATCAACACAACACTAGCCATATAATAATCAATTAATCATGAAGATAACTGTTTTCACCAGTGACCTCTACTTCGACCTATGCAACTCCGGCTTACCTTCGTTCTGTACACTTGTTCAGCATCGTCTCCGTAGTTTGTAATATAAGAACATGGTCTTGATAGAATGCGTTGTAAAAACACACTTTCGATACATTTTACATGTCTAGAAACACTCAAGTTTGTCACTTGAGGCCTAGAAATAATACACCGGCAAAGGCATGCTCTCATAAATGCAGCCATTTTGAATAGGGTCGGCGTAATACAAAAGATAGCAGTAGAACAGGAAGCTTTGACAGAGCACATGCGCAGTGCTTTACTTTCGGTTTCTAAATATAATTTGGTGGTAAATAAATCTTGTACGCCGCGCTCCCGCTCCCGTCCCAGGCATATAGAGATATTTTAATATCTCATTAACGCGATCGTTTATATTTTTTTTTTATAAAATTATACAATAATTTCAAACATTATTTTCTAAATGTGACAGTTACAAAAATGTCTATTTATCATCTAATAATTTAGAAATTGACGATAATTTGTATTTCAAGGGGGTAAAACTTGTACGCCCCAGTCAACCGTGAAAATCACGGTTTTTCATATACAATTAGATATTGAGTGAAAATTAACATGTTATTTTCAGATATATAGAACACAATACCTTACTGTTTATAATTATGTAAGTTTCGTTGAAATAAACGACATATTTCACATGAAATTCTGACTTTGTTGTGACCGCGGGCGAGGATCGCGGGGAGTTTAGTTTACTCCCGTGGCCGTGCTAAGGGGACTCGTTATACAGCTTTTGGCAATGTTAGATACGGTATCTGAGAAATGGAGTGAACCTTTTGTAGATTATTTCAATTCCCATATTAATGGTGACATTAGTAAATATGCTGGTTGGTGGCTTGTGTCTGGTCTTGATGTTGGAAACAAGTATACAGGTATTACAAATAATATTGTTGAAGGTACAAACAGCTTAATCAAGTCTTTGAATAACTGGAAAGAAGTTTCATTAGATATTGCAGTTCTTTCATTTTATTATCTCCAGAGATATTATGGCAATGAGATTAAGAGAGGGTTAATTGGAACAGGAACTTATAGACTCATAAAAGTGCTCAGCTAGACCCTGCTGATGTACAGTTTTCAAATGTTGTTTGTCATCCTGATGATTCAATGACAAAGACACAGTAACTTCCGGGGAACATATAGGTCTAAACGAACAGGTAAACTATGAAGATGTAGCTAGTTTAGCAAATGGTAAAGCGTCCGATATTCAACAAGTAAGTAAACAAACTTCACAAAGTTTTAGCAGTTGCCGCTCTTAGGGAGAACAAGGTAACCCATGTTCCATCTGCCAGGACATTTATAGATGAAGGGTCACAGGGAGATAAGTACGCAGTTCAGTTACATCCTAAAGAGCAATGTCAGTGTCCATCGATTGCTATACATGCATACACAGAGGCACTTCCTTTATTTGACCTCAGCTGTAAATAGGCCGTTAAACAAAACAAGAGGCCCAAGAGGGCATGTATCGCTCACCTGAATATTTAAGCAGTCATAGCAAAATATTCTCATTAAATCTTATATTGCACTATAAATATTTCCCTCGCAAACTTTGTTAGCTCCATCTTTTGAAACTACCAGTAAAATATTATTATAAGATTCTATGCTTTTTTTATTCTTCTTCAGAAGTTGCTTGACATATTTTCCCCTGTGACCTTGTAAATAGGTCAATGTCATTTTCCTTCTCAAATTGGTTAGCTCTATTCCTAAATGCTACCAGCCAAATCTTATGAGTCCATTCCTTTTAGTTCTTGAGAACAAATCCTTTAAAATGTTGTTGACCTCTGTGACCTCTAAAGTAGGTTGAGGTCATTTTCATTCGCAAACTTTGGTGAGCTCTATCCCAGGAAGTCACCAGCCAAATATTATAATTTTATGCCTTTTAATTCTTCAGAAGAAGTAGTTTGAACCGTTTGACATATTTGAACGCTGTGACCTTGAAAGTAAGTCAAGGTCATTTTCATTTCGCAAACTTTCCTTGGCTCTTTCCCAGGAAATAAACAGCCAAATAGTAAGGTTCTATACCTTCCAGTTCTTCAGAAGAAATTGTTTTAAGTGTTTGACATATCTGCCTCATGTGACCTTAAAAGTAGGTCAATGTCATTTTCATTCTCAAACTTTGTTGTGCTCTTTCCCAGAAAGCTATAAGCTAAATATTTAGGTTCTATAACTTTCAGTTCTTCAGAAGAAGTCGTTTTAATAATTAGACATATCTGACTCCTGTGACATTGAAAGTAGGTCAAGGTCATTTTCGTTTTCAAACTTTGTCGGGCTCTATCCAAGCAAGCCATCAATCAAATATAAAGATGCTATACCGTTTAGTTTTTCAGAAGAAGTCGTTTGAAGCATTTGAAATATTTGACCCCTGTGACCTTGAAAGTAGGTCAAACTAATTTTCATTCTCAAACTTTGTTGTGCTCTTTCACAGAAAGCTATAAGCTAAATATTTAGGTTCTATACCTTTCAGTTCTTTAGAAGAAGTCGTTTGAAATGTTTGACACATTTGATCCCTTTGATATTGAAAGAAGGACAAGGTCATTTTCATCCTCAAACTTTGTCGGGCTCTATCCAAGCAAGCCATCAATCAAATATAAAGATGCTATACCGTTTAGTTTTTCAGAAGAAGTCGTTTGAAGCATTTGAAATATTTGACCCCTGTGACCTTGAAAGTAGGTCAAACTAATTTTCATTCTCAAACTTTGTTGGGCTCTATCCGAGGAAGCCACCAGCCAAATATAAAGATTCTACACCTTTTACTTCTTCAGAAGAAGTCGTTTGAAGTGTTTGACACATTTGACCCCTGTGACCTTGTAAGTAGGTCTAAGCTATTTTCATTCTCAAACTTTGTTGGGCTCTATCCCAGGAATCCATCAGCCAAATATGAAGATTCTATACCTTTTAGGTCTTAAGAAGAAGTCGTTTGAAGTTTTTGACATATTTGACCCCTGTGACTTTGAAAGTAGGTCAAAGTCATTTTCGTTCTCAAACTTTGTCGGGTTCCTACCAACAAAGCTTTCAGTCAAATATCATGACTCTAGGCCTGTCCGTTCTTCAGAGGAAGATGTTTAAAGGAAAAGTTGATGGACGAGGACGGACGAACGGACGGACGACGGACGGACGACGGACGCCGCACCATGATATAAGCTCACCTACCCGAAGGTCACAGCGTTCAAATATGTCAAACGGTTCAAACTAATAAAACCAAACCTTTAAATAATATTGCATGTTGTGAACAACAACAGAAACAATAAGATATTCCCCTTCATTTGTGTTAATGTAGATTTTAACTACAATGTATCTACTATAATTTGTGTATGGATATGCAATACAACCTTATATACATCCTGCAACATCATAACCTAGTTCTCTATCTGTTGTCATTCCAATATTCCAACAGATACAACCAGATATACACCTTCCAACCTCATAATCTGGTTTAATCTGTTGTCATTCCAATATTACAACAGATACAACCAGATATACACCATCCAACCTCATAATCTGGTTCTATCTGTTGTCATTCCAATATTACCACAGATACAACCAGATATACACCATCCAACCTCATATTCTGGTTCTATCTGTTGTCATTCCAATATGACAACAGATACAACCAGATATACACCATCCAACCTCCTAATCTGGTTCTATCTGTTGTCATTCCAATATTACAACAGATACAACCAGATTTACACTCTCCAACCTCATATTCTGGTTCTATCTGTTGTCATTCTAATATTACAACAGATTCAACCAGATATACACACCATCCAACCTTATAATCTGGTTCTTTCTGTTGTCATTCCAATATTACAACAGATACAACCAGATTTACAC